CTGACCCGATCTGATTCGGCTATCTGACCCGCCCGAATTTTTAAATTTTGATTTTTTATTATTGTATATATATTGTTTTTCTTTTTTTTCTTTTCTCCTTTTTTGTTTCTTTTTCTTTTTTCTAATTTTCTTTTTACTTTTTCTTTTATGGTCCTCCTCCCTACGTGACTCTCTCTGCCCAGAATGCTTTCATCCTCACATCTTCATCACCGAAGCCAGCTCCACCGTGATTGCGCCTGAGACGCCCACTGCCGGCCGTCGGCTCGGGCCAACGGCGAATGATGGCCTTACACCGTCACTGTCGGACGATGTCTCGGTGACCACGCCGACGACTTAAAGAAAAACCACACCTCCCCGTCGGCGACCCCAAACTAACCATCCGACCATCCAGCGTTCAGCTCCTCCGACAAACATTTAACTCGCACAAACAAGCATATATGCTCAAAATAAGGCATCGAAAACTAACACAGTGAGACTCCAACCAAGGCAATGCCGGAAAACAAACAGCGATTCCAACTCGCATGCTCGTCCATGGCCGATGTTGGGAAACAACGGAATGTGCCGACAAATCAAAAGAAAAACGCAAAGTTAGTCACTATTTAGCACACGTAGGTAATAATCAAGCATGAAAAACTGAGCTCTAAGCACCGATTCCACAAAAGGTGATTCGGACCTCCATTTAGGCATTTTATCGAACGAGTGGTATGCGGATTCAAGCGAAGACTTTAGGCCGAGATTCATGGTGTTTTTCGGCTTTAACGTGATGTACAGAGACATAATCAACTATATTGAGCCACAACCTTGTCTCGGTTTGCATAGAAACGACCAAAAAAACAAGACCAAATTCGGAGTTTCAAACTCAAAGAGCTCTATTAGGGCAATTCAACAAACAGGTGCAAGGCGCCTAAAAATAAGGGTTTCTAAGCCGATTTAAGTGGGATTCAAAGGTTGCTTCTTGTTAAAAATTACTCAAGAACACTTCCCAAAGATGACAAAAGATGTTTTCCTCCTTTTGTGGTGCCGGACGACCACCGAATAGACTCGGTGTGCCCGGCACCCGAGAGGCAGGGGGGAAACGAAAATAGAGGAGGACGAAGATCCACCTGTTCGTGGCTAGCCTGTGGCAACGCGGCGGTCGGATGCTTATCAGTGGCACCTCGGGGTCTCCTTCGGGCATATGGGGACCCTCTACTCTCAGGTTTTCCCCCCAAAACTCTCTCGGTCTCTTCCTTCTCGTCTCCAAAACTCTATCTCTGCTTGTGACCAACCAAGACAAAACGCGACGGCCGGGGCAATGGACGTCCGACGACGGTGACTGGCTCGCTGGGAGGGGGAAGAGATTTGCCGACAATCCTCTTGAAGAGGAACCGACGCACTCTCCTCTCAGACCCTTCTCCTTTCTCTCTTCTGAAACTCTCTCGATCTCCCTTCTCTTCCAAAATACCCCCTGAAAAGAACCCCCTCTTTCTCTCTAGCTCAGCCCTTTTGTCCTCGAACGTTCTCTCTTCTTTGGGACCACCAGCTGCGACTCTGACCTTCTGCCCCTCGATGCGCGACGGCGCCTCCTTTATGTTGCGCAACCTCTTCCTCTGCAGCGCGCTCCCGTTCTACCTCTATACTAACACGCCTCCTCCTCTGCCTCTTTGTAGAGAGAAAAGGTGAAAGGGACAGGAGGTGGGTCGGGCCGGGCTGATCTGGTCCGGTTGAACTGGGTTAGACCAGCCCAGATTTTTTTAATTTTTTATTATATATATTTTAAAACGAGAAAAATATGTCTAATAAACCCCACTAATGCAGATGCATCTAATGTCTCTATGTCATGTAATTCAATGAAAATATTTTTGTTTAGGGGTTAAAAATTAACCCCTAATTTTATATGCAATTAGACCCCAAATGAATAGCCAAAATTTAGGTGTCAACACAGGCTCGTAGGTATGTATAGCCGTATCGTCCGTTTGGGGCACCCCGTAACCAAGGAAGTGGATGTTACCGAGGTCGCGGTAGTGGGGAGTAATATTACCTATCATAGGTACACCACTATGGTATGGGTCAATAAGGACCTAGAGCACTTGGTTTCTCATTGTTTCGTGGCCTTGTTCGTATGGTTCGACGGAGATCTTTTCGATCCTCTTCGTGGGTTTGACGGATCCCCCGGTGACCTTGGCAAAGCTCCAACGGATCCCATGGTGGGGAACCCTCCCGATGGCATTGTGAGCGACCCCGAGTCCAACCCGAACTATGATCTCAAGCTCGAACCATAGAGAATCAACCTCCCATGGAGAACCACTTTTTGGCAGTCGCCCTAGTAGATAGAGGAGTTAGGACTAACCCCGACCCTTTTTGGATGAAATCGGAAAAGGCCGGTAGTGGTGGGCTTGTAATTAGCTAACTTTCCGATTGTTAATGATGCTTATTTGTGAAGTGTGTTTTGTCTACGTGTTTTCCTTGCTATCTGTTTGTTGTTGTTGATTGGGTGATGTTCAAGTATGCTTTCGCATGTGCTTAATTGAAAGATAAAAGAAACGAGTCAGCAACGCCTCCTGGAACATCGCATTTCAATGACCTTGAAGGTGTCACGCGCCCGAGGCTCAGGGGGATAAGGTACGGGGCATGACAAAATATAACAAGTCATTCATATACATTATCCACTTCTTTTGAAAAAACAACAGATTCCATCTCCGGCTCATCAAGTCAAAGACTTGCAACTCAAGCACTCCAACATCTTCAAACGTGTTAAAGGCATCTCCACCAATATCCCACATCTTAGTCTCTCCTTCTACATATTATGGGCTTTTTCTTGATAGAAAACATAGGTTGCTATGAATGAAAACCAAATCTTCTACAAGTTTTGGAGTCATTTTATTTCTCATCACCGATTGCACAAAGGAGTAAGTACTCCGATTCCTCTCGACACATAATGAAGAAGAAGGTTGTGCAAGAAGCTTTAAGGTTATGCTTTGAAGCATAGGTGTACTTCGACCATGAAGAACCCACCAAGCCTTAGGATCCATAGAATACCGATTTTGAATGGAATCAAGTTCTCTAAACTCCCCATTTTTGCACGAAAAATCTACATACTCCAAATTTACTTTAGTGCGCTCATCCAAGTTAGGAAAGTATTTCCTAAGGCATTGTTTTCTCTCTTGGATGATCTCGTTATTCTTGTATGGAGAAACTTGAGAAAGATCTCCATTGAGCCATTGATCACTATAGTACATTATTTAATAAAATAAAATAAAAATAAAAAATCATAATAAGTAAAAGGAGTATTATATTATCATGTCAAAGAAAGAACAACTAATAAAGTAATAATCTCATACAATTTTAGAAATTACATAAGATTCAAGGCATGTGCCAAGCAATGAAGTGGAGTGTTGTTTCTAGTCCAACGATCCATAAGAATTGTATGAACCGCCTCATGAAATGTAGACTCCTCATCTAACCTTTTCACTTCATGCTCTTATATAGCTCTCTTCACTTTTTGAATCATTGAATCCCACATGTCATAAACTAAGTGAAGACAAGGCTTGTTGAAGTCACAAATTCTAAGCATGTCATAAATAGAAGCCGTGAAGGAAAGTATAAAATCAATGGAATCCCATCAAAAATCATCCAACACCTTTTTCTTGACAAACTTAGCCCTCCCTTGATTATCATCTCGATAGATATTTCATTTGTCACAAATAACCATGCTTTGAAGACCACTTTTTATTAACTTGAACCTCCGAAGCATCACAATCATCGAAGCAAAGCGTGTATCCATAATGGAAAGCAACTTCAAGTTAACAAACTCATTGTATATTGCTAACCTCATGGAATAGTTCATGATGAAACGTTTGATATGCATAACTTCCGAAACAATCTCAGAAATCCAACTACATTCCTCATAAACTTCGTGATTGGTCTCCGTATTCTTTGCGGCACAAATGTTCTTCAAAGCTAAATTAAAAGTGTACACCATACAAGGCATCCAAATAATATATGGAAATTATTACTCAATGAGTTGTCCTACGCCCTTACAATTTGAAGCATTATCCGTAATCACTTGAACCCCATTTATCATGCCCAATTTCATTGATTACTTCTTTGAATAAGTAAAAAATGAAATGCATATCTTTTGTTTCTCCCGAACAATCAACTGACTTTATAAACATAGGTTCTCCGTCTGATACCGCCATAAAATTAATAAGTGATCTCTTTTGTGAGTCACTCCATCCATCACTTACAGTACTTACACCCTTCTCCCTCCATATGTCTCTAATAGGTGCACACAACTTATCAATATTTGCCTTCTATTTTTGCAACAAAGTGGTCCTCAACAAATTATATTTCGATAGTACATACCCCGCAATATTATGATTAGAGGCATAAGAAAAAGCCAATTGAAAGTAAGGGTTCCTTGCCAGGTTAAACGGCAAGCCCATCGAATAAAATATCCTAGCAATCTCATAATCTAAATGTTCTCGTTGAGTCATGTTGAATGCCTTCTCAAGTGATCATCCACTCCCACTTCCAATCTTCCTTTTTTTAGAGTATGAATCCATCTCACCACTACTACCACCACTAATTATCAAACTAGAAGGGGGCGAAGGTACATTTTTAGGCGCAACCTCTTCATCTAATCTTTCCAACTCCACTAATATTTCTACCATGTTCCACTTCTTCTGAAGAGCAGGCATCAACACAAATAAAGCAAGTTGAGATAAGCAGGCTAGGTCTCTAAAAAGTAGAAACATCCGATACAATTAAGTTAAAACTTTATGCCATACAAATTTCTCCACAAGGGAACCACCACCCATCCTTTCTCATTCAAATCCATCCATATTTGGTATCCCAAACCTCTACAATTTATAGAAGTTTGGTCATAACTAGCCCCATTGCAGATCGCACAATTAGCCACAATGTGTTTCATGCACCATCCAAGGATCATAATGTGCATTTGAGCTTGTATAATCGTGAAAAGGTTTATGTTGCTTGCCCAAAACACAATCAAATACCTATTTTCTTATCAAGAATCACACAAAGGTAGAGCTCCAAATTAGTTTTGTTAAGCATTCTTAGACGCCAGGTTTGGGTTTACTATGCAAATAAACAACATATGATGTTGCTAGACCATATACAACAATAATTGCGTGTCGATCATGTCTATGGTTGGAATACACCATATAATTTTGATGAAACATTCCAATATTAAAGAAATGCCAAATATGTGTGCATCAGATTGATGGAGGGAAGTTATTCATCAACTTATTGCATGTTGTATTAGATGTACAGTGGATAGAGCCTCCATGAGAACTAAGTTAAGAAGGGAATATTCAATAATCTCACCCTTCATCCAGAAAAGAATCCTTTAAAGATCCTCTCGTTTTCTTGATTATCTAAATAGCTTCTAGGTTAGTACTACCCTGCAAACGCCAATAGAGAAGTGGCATCAGATGGTTGAAATAAAGACAACAATCCATATATCGCATCACAAATCTCATTAACATAAAAGTTCACTACAAAGTGAGCATCTGAGGGCAACATAACAATCACACTGATCCTACATCTATAATCTTGTGGTCAAAGTTTAAGAAATCCCACAAATGTTAAGAACAAGACCAAATTAAGATCTGCTAAATTTTAATGGGCAGAAAAAAGCCATTCTTCAGAGAACCCGTCATAGATTAGATTCATCGACCAGCTTAAGAATAGGCATCCTTGATAATATCCATGTCTACTAGCTTGAAACTCAAAAAACTCAGTGAATATGGAATAACCCAATCAAGAAAGCACATGATTTTTTTTGCTAACATAACAATCGCATCCCCGTGCACACGTGACACGACACAAAGAATCCAATTTTCGCTAGCTAAGCTGAGACGATCTAATCTCAGAGAGCCATAAGGGTTATCATGAAACGCGGCCAAGAGAAGCCACACGACCTCAGAGAAGCCAGAAAAAATCACCAAGAACACCTCTCTCACTCAATTTTCAACAGATCTCGCCGAGGCAACCCAACATCAAGCAGAATGAGTCACGGAGCCCTAGGGCAGACAGCGAAGAACCATAGGTTGAGTGAAGAAGAGCAGTACAATTAGGGGAAGAAACAGGGAGAGGTGTACCTGGTTGGGCAACGAGCAACACGGAGAGAGCCTCGCAGTGGTTGTCGGTCGACGGAAAGAACAGAAATAAGAGAATTTGAGAGGGGAAGGTTATTGGGTCGAGCGAAGAAGACGGGAACAGAAAGAGCCGTGTGTGTTTAGCCCCTTTTTCTTCCATTTTTTCTTTCTTTCTTTTTTTTATAAATTTACATTTTGACCCCTAAGTTTTTGAAAATTTATAAAATTGACCTCGTGCGTGTCGGAATCGCGTGTCAAGATTCCAGACTCACATGTCGGAGGCATTGACCGCGTGACGGAAATCCGACACTTGTTTGACCGCATGTCCAACACGTCCGACATGTGTGTCGGTGTCGGACATCTACACGTTGGCCATACCAACGTATTGGTGCTATATAGCCTTGAGTTGTGTGTTGTCCCCCATGTGGAATTTAATGATGTGCTAGAGACTTTCTTTGATACTTTTAGAGTCCATATGAGCCAAAACCCAGTATACTTGTCAAGCTGGCTAATCAGATGACGGATGAGCCAAATGTTTCAAAAAAATATTGATTGCGGTAGATGTATATGGTCGATTGGGTCAATCCTAATACAAGAATTATAGGTGATAGAATTAAATTCACAGACAATAAAGAGCAACCCACACAAGCCGATATGGGATAATAGTGTAAGAATATGGATTGATGAAAAGCTAATTGGAGGAAAAATTGGGGTAAAATGTGTATATTGCTTTATTATATTGAAATTGTACGAGTACATCTCTATTTATAGTACATGGAACCTAATTAATTTAGGTAATAAATATACATAAAATCAATTTCCTAATGTACAATATCCCAATAAATCAATTAAGGACAATCATATCAATTTATGATATTAGCAATATCTTCAACATATCAATTATGAGGCAATGGTATCTTCAACAATCGCCCTCAAGCCGGTGGCCTGTACACATCGAGGATGCCAAGCTTGCTCAATAGATACATATGTTGCCCTTAACGCAAATGTTTGGTGAAGATGCCTGTAGGTTGTTCGTTGTCCTTATTCCCATTGTCTTAATCGCTTCATCGTGGATTTTGTTTCTAATGAAATAACAATCAACTTCTATATACTTCGTTCTTCATGAAAAATTGGATTCACTGCCAGTTTGAACGAGGGATCGTTGTCACAAAATAGAACAGTTGGTTTCCTCACCCATATACCGATATCTCAAAGCAATCCTCTTATCTAGACAATTTCATAGCCAGTGTTTGCCATCGCTTGATATTTTGCCTCTACGGATGATAAGGAAACAGTTGTTTGTTTCTTAATTTTCCACAAGAGTAGTGAGTTTCCTAATTTGATGCAGAACCATGTTACTGACTTTCTCCTCATAGGGCAAGTAGCATAATCTGTGTCACAATATGCCATCATTTCCATATCGTTCTCTCAAGACAGTAGCATTCTCAATCTCGGACATCCTTTCAAGTACTTCACTACTTTCAATGCAGTATTTATATGGGATTGTTTCAGATTATGCACGAATTGGCTGAGGATTTATACCACATAGCATATGTCGGGTCTGGTCATGGTGAAGTAGATGAGCTTCCTAACAAGTCTTTGGTTTGCTGAAGGATCCATATGGGGTCCTCATTCACCGGTGACAATTCTTTGTCAAATTCAGCAGTGGTCAACTTAGCATTCTACTCAATTGGAATAACAACTAATTTGGAATCGGATAGTCATGATCTAATATGATTTTTAGGACAAATTTGTGTTGACTGATGTCGCGACCTACCCCTCGAAGGCCGCCTAGGGTGTAGATTTAGAGGTAATTGTTCATGGAAACATTTCAAATGGCATATCCCAAAAGACGGCTCAAGAAGTGTCATTCTTTTCTTTATCCATAAAATCCATTAGCCATAGACATGGACTCTCCCAAAGCCCATACCATGCATGACACGGGATCATTTTTTTATATTTTTATCGATTAATAGTCGCCACTAGCCTTTGTCAGGGGTCGGCTATGTCGTGACCTACCTCTCGACAGCTGAACTTGATGAAGCGGGTTTAGAGGTAAGTATTCATGAAACGATCCAAATGGCACACAATAAAAGACAGCTTACCAAAGCATCGATTTTTTACTGGTAGGTTGACTAGAATAAAAAAATCGTTTAGAGGTAAGTGTTCATTATTGGTAGATTTACTAAAAACCCAATCGAGGTACAGGAAAAATACTACGATTCTGCGAACCAGAGATTACATGGGTAAAGGGATTGGTTATGCTAATGATCCCAAATCAAGATCTCTAACGCTCTTTCTGTATCTAAAACGATACGATGTGTCTAATGTGTCACGTGAGTTCGCAAGGCCTATCCACTAATTCTAACCGTTCTAATCGGGAGAAATCAATCAATGAACATAGAAATGCACAACCAATTTCAAAGAAGCACAACAATCCTAGAATGGTCTCTAAAATGAAAATCAACCAAACACCCAAATCCTGTTAAAACCCTAAAGGCATATTCATTCAATGAATTGTGTAGTTTTGGGGTTTTATTAGGGTTAAGACCCCTTTTATTCCTAAAGTGAGAAGTCTTCAAAAATACCACTTGGGCATATCAAAAAATTTCAATTTCACTTAAAATGGGTGGCCACAAGGTTTCTAAGCCATTCTATGAATTTTTTAAATTTTCTGATTTTTTTTTTCGGGAAAATTTTTATTACCGAAAAGATTAAACTTTAATTTTTTTTTATTTTCTGAATTTTCTAATTTTTTAAAATTTTTTATTTTCTGATTTTTTTATGAATTTTCTGGAATTTTCTAATTTTTTATGATTTTATGGAATTTTCTAATTTTTTATGATTTTCTAGAATTTTCTAATTTTTTAGAAATTTTTAAAAATTTTTAATTTCCCGCCAGAAACCGAACCAGGCCTAACCAGTTTAGACCGCCGGCACCGGCGCCGGCCGATGCTCCAGTGGGTCACGACACCAAAATGATGCCGTTCCTCTCTTTTTTTCTTCTCGGCATTTTGCCAAACAGTTGGTGTGCATGATTTTGGGTTTAAAGTTTTGAGGCCGCGATTTCAAACCAAGTTCCAGTGACATTCCGGTAATTTTCCGACGTTGATTTTTGGTTTTGCATCAACTCTATACTATCCACTAACGACCTAACCTCATCGGTTCATCGTCGGACCCTCACCAGCCGACAAAAACCTAGCCTAAACATGTTAATTTGTAACTATCCTAACCGGTTTATCTAATATTCAGATCAGCATGCAAGATGTCCTAGCCATTTCTATCATTCATACAACAATCAAAACAACAAGAAAGCAAAGAAAACTAACTTGAAACGGCCATAGGTCGTTGGGAATGCTCCGGCAGGGTCTGGAAGCTCCGGTGAAGGCATTTCAATGGTGGCCAACTCGATTTATGCATATTCAATGATCCAGAATGCAACAAACAACCAATATTGTGATCAGAAACATGTTTTAAGCATCTAGAAACTCAAAATCACGAAGAAAATTGCTTGATTAAGCATGATTGAGCTAAAAAACTATTTTGGAATTTTTGCTAAACTGTGCTCAAGATTGAACTTTACCTTCTTCGATGAAGCTCAAACTGGAAATTTCGAGCTTGACAAAGACTTTAGGATGATTCTTCGAGACTTGTTCTTCAAGGAGACAATCGCAGTTTCGCTGAGAAAGTTCTGAATCAGCCGGCCGAGAGCGGTTTCAAGCCTCGATGACCAGCCTTGTTGCAGGTCCTCCGGTGAGGAAACTCACCGTCGAGACTGATTTGCCGGTGCTTTTCCGGTCGGAAAAGCGTCGATCGCTCGGTCTCCAAAAGTCTTGACTCACCTCACGCTTGATCTCTCTCTCTCTCTCTCTCTCTCTCTCTCTCTCTCTCTCTCTCTCTCTCTCTCTCTCTCTCTCTCTCTCTCTCTCTCTCTCTCTCGCTCGTTCTCTCTCTCTCTTTCTCTCTTTGGCAATCTATCGAGCACCTTCTCTGCTGCGGGAACAATTTTTTCTTCTTTTCTAACTTGTTTTCCCGCCAAATTCTCACTCCCACCAACTTCTAAGTTCGTTATAATAGATTACTGATGCCAGCTGGAGATTCCCCAACTGTTAGATTCGTTTATCACGTGCCCGATTAGCCCCGGTGAGTCGGTGAAGTCGCGGGCCGAAAAAGATATCTTCCAAATTTTTCATGTGTGGGGCGAACCGGGTAAGGAAGATGACCGACCCAGGTCAGGTCGAGTCGATCCGACTGACCCGGCAGACCCGAGTTGGTCAAATTTTTGCAAATTAAGCTCGATTTTGTATCAATTTTGCAAATTTCACCCCAAAATTGGATTCCTCAGCACATTTTGCATCAAGACATGGGATTTGTCCTAATTTTTGTTACAATTAAATCTAAAATTCATAAATTTTGAATTCGGATTATTAGGGTTTTTGTTCAATTCATTGTCCAAATGACTTAATTGTGTAAAATTGATGCCAAAATTGAATTACCCATGGCCTATTAACCTAGAAAAAGGTATGGGTCTGATTCGAAAATTTCAAATTGTATGAGATTCCCAATTTAGGTCCTAAAAACCTAATTTTCAATTAATTTTTGGGGCTTTTAAATTATTTTGTTAAATTGTGAAATTGAATTGGACTAACCAATATGCAATTTAAGGCCCCAGAATCAATTGTTGTGAAGACGCTATGGCTTAAAAATGACTCAATTGAATTTTTTGTTCAATTACGGTATGAATTTACCCAATTTTGGGAAAAACATATCCCCAACTTAAAATTTTTGAAAATTGAAGCTCCAATGATGAAATTGGAATTAAAATGAGACTAATGGATATTTTTGTGGAATTTTGTAGTTCCATTTGGTATTTTTCTTGATTTTTCACTCATTTTGGCGAAAGAAAATAAGGAAAAATTCACGAAAATTCTAAAAAATTTATTTTTGATTTTAGAAATAGGTTCTTAAGCATGGCCAGGGTTCCTAATCCTAATTTTGTAATTTTTAGGAAAATTTGAAAAATGGGCCAAAAATCAAGTGTCAATAGTATTTTGGTAATTTTGAGCACAAAGGGATCGGCTGGCCTTACCTGGTCGGAATGGACTGCCGGCTGCCAGAATTTTGGCCGAGAAA